GAGCACACAGTTGCGCGCCCATAACTTGTTTGAAATGAAAGTAGATGTATGTTGCAGTGATCACGAACATACAAATTGGACGCAATATATGCTTTTTTATTTATTTTTTAACATTTTTTTTGCTAACAACTTTGTGGTTTCAGTCAAATCCAATTCGAAACAAACTATCTATTTACTATCCTTGTTGTTGTTGTTGTTGTTGTTAATTTCTGCGACAGAAACAATCGTCTCATCGGAAGACAAATCCCATCTCTGGCAGTACAATGCACGTTGGTACTGATGTTGCCGTTATAGGACATACTATCAATAATTACTAATTACATACGCCTGGACATATATAAATACAGACTGGAGCATCATTATACTTTTGAGGGCAGCTATATCCTTTGAATAAGTTCCCTTAGTAGTTGATTGCGACTGTACTGTCCGATATGATAACGAAGAGCCACGCTCCCGTATAGAAATGGATGAGCGAACGTGTTAAAACGCACACACGCTTACATATGAGACTTCATAATCCAGCTCTTTTTCTAATCGTACCCCGATCAACCATGTCTATTGCGCTAAGGACGCATACGTGACTTGCATCGAGCTAAGACTTTGCCTGCTTGAAAATCGTAGTTGATTACGCAGCTAAATATCAGGTAGTCTTGTGTTTCGCCCCAAATTATAAAAATAAATATAATATATACTTCTTATAAATTACCTGTAATAATTAGTTAGAGTATACTAGTAGTTATTAGCTCTATTGAACGGTTTCGGAACTGTTAACAAAAGGATGAACTTTCTTACTCTGCTGTTTTGGCGGGTCGCCTGTTTACACAACCCTTACAGCGGCGGGCGCCACTAAAATGCACCAAAATTCCAATTTTAAAAATTGTTGAATTTAGTTATTATCTTATTTCTTTATAATCGCTTACAGTCATGGATTTAAATTATGTCTATAATCGTTTCCTATCATCTTTTGTAGATGCTAAGTAACAATGGATATGAGAACCTCGACAGCGCGCTAGTTCTACCGATTAAGGCGGGCAATTCGAAATACTTGGTCTAGTGGACTTCCGGATGGGTCTCGGATTTAATCACCTGCCACGGAAAGAATCAGCGTATACAGAACGTCTAATTGATTAACCTGAAGTTTCATCTATTCGCCACGTAATAAGGGTGTTGGTATTTATGACGCATTATGCATTACATTGTTAGATGCATGCTTCTCTTGGGATACACACTGTTTTAACGAATGTTGTCTAGCACAACTGCGCAAAACACGATATATGGTTCGCTGAAATTGCAATCTTTTACCTAAATTTGAACAGAAAAAAACATTAGCGCCTTTAGGGATTCAGCTTAGAAAAAACGTTGCTATAGCCAACATGTTTTCGTCCTTAGCGGGCATTGAACTATCCAAAGAATCTAATAAAAAAGTGACACCAGTATTTTTATCGATGCCTAAGCGCGCGCTACACGCTTAATAAAACCATAAACACACGATTGTTGACACGTCATTGGTCTATAAATGCTGCTTCCTTATTACCGATGAATTGTACTAACAGAATATCTATGTTCTGGATACAAAAAGGTTGAGTCGAACAGGGCCTGGAAACGACATCGTTACTGTTTCCACTGGCATCTCTTGTCCCGTTCATTTTCATGAACATCGAAAATCAAGTAGTGGTTATATAATGGATTTGCGTCAATCATCATCACCAAAAACAGACTGTTTACTACGCAGTACCTCGGTTAGGTTCGACGCTCAGGCCTGGGCTCCCGGCACTCGGTTGATATTTCCCTTCCTTTGCTGATCATCGGCAAAGCTGTAGAAGATGAGACTGTTCTGGTTGTCCGAGGGAAGACTAACCACGATATACGTTTGCCCCTGCTCCTCGTTTCTCCCTCCTGTTTTTTTTTCTCTACGTACTCCACCAAATGATCAGGTGGTGATCGTAGTGGCTTTAGCGGCGATGGCAACGGTGCCGTCGGTACGAACCCGAAATGCTTCCTGTCGTTTTTCGTTCGATTCGATCGTGGTTGGCTTGACTTGTCTCGACTTCAGTCAGCTTACCTTGCCCCGCTTTGGTCATCACCCCTTAACGGTAACAGCAGCCCGGTTTTTACCTCTTCCCGCCCCGGCCATGGTTATCTATTTTTGGTACTGGCCTCCTCCGCTACCACGTCCAACATCAGTGTCTCTCTTATTACCCGTTCTCAGCGCCTCGACAGCCCAACCCCCCATTTATCCGTTACCCCACCATTAACCGCTGATGCGATGGCTGTTTTCTGTGTCGCCCTTCCTTCACCCGTTCCTTTTTCGCGACCGCCGTCTCTTTAAGTAATGCCGGCAACGGCATTGGCCGTGGTCGCGTAGTAGTCGAGAATAATTCATGAGCTTAAAACATCTTCATCCTTTACCTCTATCATACCAGCCGCTCACTTCTTTTTGCTTTTTCTTCCTCTCGTTTCCTCGGCTGTTTCCTTTTTGGCAACGTAACGTTCGTTTCTCCAGTGTTCCATTCACCACTAGCAGCTGCATCATCAGCATCACCATCAACAGCACGCTACCGCTTACAAAGACGAGGTGGGTTGACCACCCATCCAAGTCCCCTACCAGTCTTAAAGCAAAGCCGGTTGCTTGTCCGCGCTTACTTTAGAGGCGACCGGGGAGAAACGACTTACTAAATACGGCGGTGTCTATTCCATGTTACGTCTGTTATACGCCATTCTACCGTATACACATCCAGTGCCGCCTCGAGACGGCCCCATTTGGTGGCCGTTATACAACGCTGCTTGTGCTCTTGCTCCTACTCCCGCATCTGCCGCAACAACTACGCTCCGCGACGAAAACGATATCGCTCTTGCTGCTGCTAAAAGCGATATAGCTATTGTACCAGCAGTTACTGATGCCTCTGTTTCACGATGCCCCTTCCCTTTTCGTTGGTTACTTGAAAGCCGCTCGTCGCAGGCTTCTGTCCTGGCCAGGCTGGCTGGTCGGCCAGGTTACAGAGTGCTGCTTCTTAGATGCCATCGTCCTCGCCGAATAGTTTGGGGCGAGGTTGGCCAGGCTGTGCGGGTCTGCAAGGACCCCCTTGAAGCTCCTTCCAAAGCTTCTCGCGATGCCAGTGTCTTCTGTAGAGTCGCTTTTTCATCCGTATCGAGGCAGGGGCATCTCGCTGTTTCCTTCTCTCGTTGCTCTTGTTTCTCTTTCTCTCGATGCTGCTCGAATCTTCAATCTCTTGCCGTCTTGCGATCGTCACTCTTTCTGCATTCGTTTTCCTTTTAGCAACGCATTTGTCTGCTATTCTTGTTTTTCTTCCAGGAGCGGTTCTTCTGACGTGTATTGCCGGCGCAACGGTGGCCGCTCCCGCCACTGGGCCCGAGCTCAGGGAGCACAACGAAGCGAAGCGTTTGAAGCGATACCAGCAGCAACAGTAACAGTAGCACCATTGATGCACGCATCAGCAGGTCAGCGGGCTACCTGCCCCTGGAAACCCTCTGAGTTATCTGAAGACCACCTCTCTCTCTCTCTTTTTATTTTCGGATAGGAACTCTAGGCCATTGAGAAAGGCTGGAAGCTCCACATCAACTGAAGGACGCCTTTCTGCCCGCCTTAGTAGTTCGACCTCGTCGTCAACGTGTTCTGCCTGCGGCCCTCTTTTCGAAGAAAAAGACGAAAAAGAAAATCGCGAGGACGAACAATATGAACGAAAAGAACTGGAGCCTAACGAAAGGGCAAGAGACCTGAAAGGGAGCCTCAAGGCGAAGATAGTGGACAGCGTCTGGAAGGATCTTCTGCTGTTAGCCGCTCCTACTGCGTTTTCAACCTATCTACATTCGTTATCAATGTCTTATCCTTGGTTTCTCCTTCTTCCCTTTAAAACCTCTATCAGTTATACACTGCCTCTGTGCTGTTTTTCTTCTGTAAGAATGGGCCAGACAGAGGCGCACTACCTATATTTTTCTCCCACAGACTTTTGCCGTCCTCTCTAGCTTGGAGGCTCAAACTATCGTTGCGGGCGAATCTCCTCCGCGTTCAGGCCTGGGACACGCCAGGGACTGTCTGTTCCATCTTTTTTGCGCTCCTTTTCCCTTAGAAAACGTATTCAACAAAAGTAGATTTGGGGAAATAGAAGTAGTGAGGGGTGCGCGAACAAAAGACACAGTAAACAAGGATGATATTTGTCGTCTCCAGTAAGTTATCTATTCACGTTCCCCATTTGAGTGGGTACGTCGGTTCGTTTCCATTTGAGAGGAACTACGGACCCATGCGATAGATATGCAATGCGATATCTTAAAGAGGGCTTAACAAAATACGAGAAGAGCATTCTCTGTCTTTTGCATTGTTTTAACCTCAGGATTATCTTAGAAAGGGCTCGTCGGTCATGAGTCCTCAGTGCTCGCTGTTCCAACGAGATTCCTTTCTTTTGGTCCTACCTTGGTACTACTACTTGATGGAACCAATGGCTGTTTCCACTATGTTTGCTGCAAGAAGTCGCCGGGACGGATTAAGCGTGTGAAAGCTTGTTTACGCAAGCCTGTCCACATTTCGAAAATAAAAGAGTACGAGTGGCCGTTGTTGTGATAGTGGTAACTTTTATGAGAGAGTCAAATACTTTTCTCAAATTTATGAAGTGTTACTCTTCCACCTTTGGCTATTAAACTGGATGGTTGTGCATTAAAGCTAAATTTTTGTAGCTGTTATGAGCAAGGTCCTTTGTTTAAAGTAGTCGAAGTTAGGGGTGGCCGACTAAGTCAACTGCTAGAAAGTAGAAGAACATCATTATGTACGAAGCCACAATTTGGTTAATATCTCTCGCGATAATTGGCTCATACGCTAGGTTTTGTCACCTCCGTGATGCAGAAATATCATTAAAAGCTCTTGTGAAGGTGATGGTTTATATGCATCAAAAAATAATTTCTTTGGTTCTTAAACCAACACGTCAGAATCGAACCTAATCGATAGAAACATCCCCACGTCCGTAAGCGTCACCTTTTTCCCCGCTTACCTTTTGAAGATGCCACTTTCGCAAGGAGCGCTAGAACTCCAAGCAGAAATAGGGCAGAGCTCCCCCCCATTACGTTGCTAAGTCCACAGTTCTAAAAATAATAGTCTTCTTCTTCCTCCTTTGAGCACAGCACTTTCACCACAACAAAAGCACACCAGACAAGACAAACGGATAACTCAAATGGTAATCACCTATACTTATATCAACTAAGTATCAACCAGTTATCACCGCAATATCAACTGCGATCCGCACCGCCACCCTCGGCTTTCGAAATAAACGAGGTGTCCGTATACGACCAGCACTTTTGTCACATGAAGCTAGGCCAAAACTTCCCACCCCCACCGGACAACTGTTGCAACAAGTCACTTCGCGCACAGGCAAAGATAATCTTCACTTGTTTCTTCTTTTGCTGTCAAACTTTATTTTATTGCGTCACACTGCGGCCCCTTAGCCGCTAGAGGCTTCGCCTTTCCCGCTAGCCACTTGGTTAAGCCTGTCCGGCAAACGATCACTTTGAAGATCGGGGCGAACCTCACACTACACTTTTTCCAATAACTTCATCCTCCATTTCAGTGGTCCTGACAGGATGATCATTAATTGGTTTTCTAAATGCAGTTAACATAAACCTCTTTTCCTTTCTGAATGAATCTTTTTTCTTACGTACTCACGCATTTGATCAGCCAACAATTGCTGTGGTCAACATTAGCGATTCGTTACCACGCACAACATTATCTTACCCTTGCCCTTGGTAGTAGAAAGCACACAGCTAGCTAGACATCGACGTATTAATCCCTACTCTCGGCGAACCGACCCAGAACTCGGATCCGACTTGTCAGCCACTGAAATATGCGCGCTCCTTCAACACGTGGTTTTCCAAAGAATGGGCTCTGTCATTTGCCTCTCCACATACCCTTTCCGCAGTGCTAGGAAAGGGAAATCGACCCTTAATAACCCTTTCCTTCTTAAATCAGCCTCAAGCTGCTAATGGCCGGCCCTAACTCTTAGCGCTCTGCAGCAGGAACTTAGCAAGTCCCCAGTAAAGGGTCCTGAGAGGGTCCCGCTGTCTAAATTTACGGTGCTTGACGAAGAGAAAGTAAGGACAATGAAGGTGGCTTCGAAGAGGGCGAAAACATTGTAGAACGGTTTGTAAAATAGAGGAATATGCAGGATCATAGGTTAACAGCTTCATACAAGTGAAGGGATGTGGGGTCACACGTGTGATTGCCGTAATGGTTAGTATTTAAATCCTAGTTTATTGATAATAGATTTACAATATTTACCGATTGTAATGTCCATTTGCTGAGATGTTACATACTTAGATTAATATTGCGAGTAAAGTATGGTAAAATGCAATTGGTTCTTATTAAGCAAACATCTTTACTGCTTCTTCTTCTTAATAAGCCCACTCAATTAAGGAAAAAAGATCACTGAAATTGTCTTGCGTAAAAAGACTACTTCCTACCAATGGCGGTGGAAACTTTCACTCTTTGCTTGAGCAGAACGTTTTCCGTGAACCTCTTTTCGACCTTGGTCTACTCCGACACATGAGTGACCACCATTCCTGAGATCAAGCATATAATTTGCCTTCTGCACTATTAGAGACAGGGTAAATCCGGTTAGCCTCTTGAACAAGCTAGGAAGAAATTTTTGGCGAGTATCTTTACTTGTCACGCTACGTTTGTGCGAGCTATTGTATTCTCGCGTTAGGTACTTCTGAGGACACGTATAGTTTTAATCAGAATATTTCTCTCTACTCAGCATTTTTCATGATACGATTACGTTTCGGACACCTATGTAGCAAGCAGGCTTTCAGCCACATCCGTCAAATAAATTGGCTTTCTATGGCAAGTCTATCCATTGTAGAGCAGTTCGTCTAAGAAGCACTTCATTAGAGGCCACCAGACTTCTTCAAGCATCTTCAAAATACTGGCCAAATACATAATTTAATTTCCAATAATACTTGAAATAGATTACGAATAATCAAATTGCCTTATTAATTTATTCAGAAGATTATAAACTAACTTTCGGCAGTACACCAGCATAAGTGAAGCATAGATAAAACAAGTGAAATCACCCCGTGAGATTTCTGCATGACCCACCTTACTCTATCTTCTATGAGTGGAATTTTATGGTAGGCTCCTAGCACGAAACGGAGCCCGCCTGTCTATGCTCGGATTCGCACCCAGACCACAAGATGTCCCTAAATATTAGTACGCAGATACGTTACCCATTAAGCTATCACCAGGACACGTTGGTTTAGCCTACTAGAAGAATAACACACTATGAGTAGGAACCGTGCTGATTGCGCCAAATTCACATAAAGTAAAGGGAATGAATCCGGTCAGCAGTTTTAACTATCTATAAATATATATGTCCAGTGGCTATTATCATTCTATATATCCGTACATTACATGAAAAATGACTGAGTCTGCTTATTTGTGTTACCTATCTTGCCTGTACCACATCAGTTAAATCAAAAGACGTTCTGTTTCCTATATTGCAGGTTATTTTTAGGACAAAAATACTTACGTCCTTTATTCTGTCCCTTTAGCGACTACTTACATTCTAAACAACTAAACCCATTCTCGACTTCTGTGAATCAGTCTTGGCCCCCCGTATACGTCCGTTCCTTCCACATATGTCAAGAAAATCGCTGCACCTCTTCATATTTAGGTAAAAGATAACGCAGTGCAAGACAGAACAGTTTCTTCGACATCGCATCTGTAGATGATGAGGAAGAGATTACCCCTCCGGTTGTCATTGCTGCTTTTTCCCCAACCCCCTCCATTCAGCACTTTCTTTTAAAAACCCTTTTTTGCCGCGTCGGTGTTGTGGCACACTTAAACGATAAGTCAGTAACACCAAGTGAAAACCTTGAAGCACATTGGCGCAAACGAACATATACATATATGCTCATGAGAGGAGCCGGGGCGATGTAATTTCAAGCCGTACCGGCACGTCCTAGGCTTTTTCTCCGTTAGGAACTGGACGACGAAAGGAAGTTCGAGTGCCCAGTGAACTTTCTATATCTGTGGGACCTAGGATCTTGAAGACAATTCTAGGACTGAACAAAAGTTTAGAAGGAACATGGCCCTGGATCGTTTAATAATGGCGCTACGGCGCATCGAAACCCTGAAATCCGCTCTTAACTTTATAAAAAGAAAAGAGATTTATGTTTAAAAAGAACGGCCTGTGGAATAAGAAGTAGAAAAAGGAGGCGGGAAGAGGGCCCGTCCAAAATGATGAATGGACCCAGCAGTTGTACTTCGATCACTATGACTTATCTTCGCCGTCGACAGTCCGCGCAGATCCTCATCCATCGGTGAGTCATTCCTCCTGCAGTTCCCTTCGACCGTTGCGTAAGCACCACTGAAAGAGGAAGCGGCAAGATTCGCTCACACTCCGTTTGTTGCGCGCCCTGGTTAATCAACCGCTGATTAAATGGATGAAACGCCACACTTCGTGTGTGTGGTACCAGCCTTTTTTTGTATCTCATTCTGCTAACCTATTCTCATTTTATTAATAATATTATAAAAAGTATTTATATATATATATATATATATATAATTTAGTTCAGAATAGTCACTGTCCTACTTAATACATATATATATTACGTACGTTACTAAAGCTGGTGTATGACCCTGTAGCAGTTATACTGTTCACTTCAGCGGAAAACAAACAGATTATTGTCGCATAGATTGTAATGCCTAAAATCGATTGGATAGCCAACGCTTACGTTCTAACGAAATCCCCAGTCAGAGTATGGGTGAACCTGTGGGCCAATGTAATTTGTCCTGTTTTACTATCCATTCTGAAAACATCACCGTCGCTTGGAATAATTTGCAGCTGAATAACTACATAATATAGTATAGTTATATGTATTAGTGCACTGTGACACTAACGTTTATTGGTAGCGAATGTATTTTGCTTATAAAGTTGTCAGAAAAAAAAACAGAAGCTGTAGAAAGTGTTTCAAAAGTGGGGTAGTGTTTTGCGCAATGAAGGTGCTAGGAACTGCTATTGCTTTCGTATTGGAGTTTTTCGGATGGAACTTTGCGCTAATTTACTAGAGAACCATGTCACTCAAGCAACGCGAAAGATATAGTGTTATAGCTTTTTTGCGTTCTAATTAGGCATTTTTAAAATTAAATTCACTTTTCTGTGTTATATTATTATATTATAAAGTTCTGTGTTATTATCATTCTAGTCTGCGCTATAATTACCATAACATGATATGTTCCGTTCGAGAGCCATGAAGACCAAAAGGATCTTAAAAAGGTCGTGAATAAATATGTTTGTATTTCAAAGCTGCATTGTTTGAAATGGCTATTAAGAAAATTTTTGCCATTACCTAAATTTACAAATTGAATTTCCTCCAGGAGGCTCACTTAAGTCGTATACGTTGTACTTTTATTGACGCCCATCGATTTTACAAAACTATTTGTACATACATATATATATTAAAGTTTTTTTTAATTTAAATGTATGTAAATTT